TTCAGTGAAATCTTTGTAGTTTCTGGTTGTCACTTAATTTTATGTAGATTGCAACAACAAATGTGAGAAAATTTGAAGCAAGAATATATAACCAACAAAATAACACCTCTTTTCCCAGTCATTATTATTATAAATTATTATCGTTATTATAAATATTCAGTGTTATGAAAGGTCAAACTTTTGGTGTGGTTTGTGTATATTTTGAGCATATGAGCTTTCTATGTCCTAATATTGCTGTTTGTCCAACATAGAAAGTGTAAGTTTCAGTTCTATGGAAGGGTCACCGGACCCGATACATTAACTCTGCTTTTTCTTTCACAGACGCCGCCAGACCTGCTGTGCTTTTCCAGCATATCTGTAATATCTGTTTTCCAAATGATCATATTTTATTTAAGAAGTTCATATTTTCCTAATGGAAAGGTAGAAAATAAGAGCAAGAATAGGCATTGAACATGATCATGAGTGATCCTCTCTCTCAATGATAGACTCCTGCTGTCTCCACATACCCCTTCATTAATTAGTGAACTGCATTTGTTCCTTATCTTCCCACACTTACCAGCAGTTTGTTTTTATTTCCATTCCAAAATACTACTCACATTTACAATTGCCAGAGGTATGTATCATGTCCCAGGACAATGCAATGATGCCATCTGCAGATGTGGCCAGGATAAGTTGTCAAACTCTCCTTTGTTGAGCAGCACCTGTCTGGGGAGATGGAGTAAGGCAGACTGTAGTTTCACCTGTTAATTCCAGGGACGTGTTTAGTGGTGGGGAGAGTGTAATTTTGACAGTTAGCCTGGTTTCTGCTTAATGTTCCAGTTTCTATCATCTATCAAAGTCACTCACACAGAAGCAAAGCAAGCTGCTGGTCAAAGGAGAGGTGTGCTGGTTTTCTGAAAAACTATTTTGTTGGAGTTTAGGATTGATTTCAAATACATCAAAGTTTATTATCTTTGGCTAGCAGCAAAAACACAGATTGTGCATCCTTAGAGAGCAAATCGTTTCTGCAGATGCTGATTAATTTGTGACCATGAGCTGGGTTTTTAACATTGAGATGGGAAGCTTGAGTGAAGATATTTCCCAACTTGGCAGATTCACCCCCCAACCCCCACCCACCCCCGTAAAAAGGTTGCCTTCTGCTATATTTTCCTTCCAGGGAGGGAGAAGTCAGGCTTACCATCTCTAGTGGCATTTGATTGGCGGCTTTTGGAAACAGAGCCAAGGCAGTCTGATTGCAAGGTCTTTGTACCAATTGTATTAAAAGTTTTATGTTTAGTCCTCTCGCCCTTGTCCCTCATTCACCTTCCCTGGCCCCATCTGTTTTCCATGGACCCCTGTATCACCCACGCCCTCTCACCAAGAACGCAGTACAAAACAATGAGTCGTATAAAATCAATGGTAAGTCTTGAAACACACTTAACAAAACAAACCATTTTGAAATCTTTGATAAATCTGTTGTCCTTACAATCCTTGCTCTTACCAAAGTGTCAATCAGATAGACCCCTTCTAGTACAGTAACAGATGTATATCTGATTTTATGTCACTTGATTTTGTCCAAATAGTCATGCGGCATTGAAAGAAAGAGTTCTAAGAAAGAATAACTTGCCACTCATAAACACATCAATCAAAATAAACCCTCTGATTCCATCTGTGAACTACATTCCATCTCATTTTTCTGCTGCATGTATCTCCATAGTCTGTGCGCAGCATTGGCTAATGGAATTACAAATCAATGTATCACATATTGATCAGCTTGTACAAATCCCCTGAGCGACTGTGCAGTACAGAGGATATATTGTCTGTGAAAACAGGCCTTTACTGAGCTAGGTTATTCATGAATGTGGAGATGAGCCAACCATTCATAGCAGGTCATCTCTGAACTGTATCAACAAAAACATACATTTGTTCCTCTGGCTGGCCTTAATATGAATGCTTGGCAGAGCTCCAAGATTCTATTCATGGAAAATAGTCATGTCTTTGAGATGATGGTGGATAGCAACTTGTGCATTATTGAGTGTCATAGCATCATAGAGTTATACAACATGGAACAGACTCTTTGGTCCAACTCGTCCATGCCAAGTAGATATCATAAAACTGACCTAGGCCCATTTGCCGGCATTTGGCCCATATCCCAGATGTCTCTTAAATGCTGTAATTGTACCAGCCTCCACCACTTGCTCTGGCAGCTCATTCCATACACGCACCACCCTCTGTGTGAAAATGTTGCCCCTTAGGCCTGTTTTATATCTTGCCCATCTCAACTTAACCCTATTCCCTCTGGTTTCGGACTCCCCTACCTGGGAAAAAGACCTTGTCTATTTACCCTATCCACGCTCCTCAGCATTTTATAAACCTATGTAAGGTCACCCCTCAGCCTCTGATGCTATTGGGACAAAAGCCCCTTCCTCTCCCTTCAGCTCGAACCCTCCTGTCGCAGTAATATTCTTGTAAATCTTTTCTGAATGCTTTCAAGTTTCACAACATCCTTCGTATAATAGGGAGAACAGAATCTAAAGCAGTATTCCAATAATGGCCTAACTAATGTCCTGTATAGCCGCAACATGACCTCCCAACTCCTATACTGAATGCACTGATTATTGAAGGCAAGCATGCTAAACACCTTCTTCACTACCCTGTCTACCTGTGACTCCACTTTCAAGGAACTACGAACCTACACTCAAAGGTCTCTTTATTTGGCAACACTCTCCAGGGCCCTACCATTAACTGCATAAGTCCTGCCCTGGTTTGCCTTGCCAAAATGCAACACTTCACACTAAATTAAACTTTATCTGCCATTCCTCAGCCCATTGGCCCCTCTGATTGTGGTTCTGTTGTACTCTGAGCAAACCTTCTTGGCTTTCCATTACATCACCAATTTTAGTATCATCTGCAAATTTACTAATCGTATCTCCTATATTCGCATCCAAAACAAGTGGAATCATACTGCCTTGGATGTAAAGTGCTTAACACAACAGTACAAGCCCCTGCGTTTGATTTTACAAGAAGAGTTACATATCTCTGTGAGGGGGAGAAAAACAGAAGTGTCACTTGGATCTTCAGTTAACTATACAATGATGTACCAATACCATAATGACCATATTATTATCTTGAAGTGAGGATCACAGGATTTCCCTTTTTATACAACCCAATATCAGATTAATTTGCTGTTAATGTGCCTTAAGTCTCAATTAATAGTTTTTAGAATTTTTCTGCTGGTATTTTATTTAAATGGTGAAAAATTGCAGAATGCTGCTGTGCAGATGGACCTGGGTGTCCTTGTGCATGAATCACAGAAGGTTGGTTTGCAGGTGCAGCAGGTAATTAAGAGGGTAAATGGAATATTGTCCTTCGTTGCTAGAGGGATGGAGTTTAAAAACAGGGAGGCAATGCTGCAGCTGTATAGGGTGCTGATGAGGCCACACCTGGAGTACTGTGTGCAGTTTTGGTCTCCTTACTTGAGAAAGGATGTACTGGCACTGGAGGGGGTGCAGAGGAGGTTCACTAGGTTGATTCCAAAGTTGAGAGGGTTGGCTTATGAGGAGACATTGAGCAAACTGGTATCTTATTCATTGGAATTTAGAAGAATGGGGGTTGGCAGGATCTTATAGAAACAAATAAAATTATGAAGGGAATAGATAAGATGGAAGCAGGGAGGATGTTTCCACTGGTGGGTGAAACCAGAACTAGGGGGCAAAGCCTCAAAATAAGGGGAAGCAGATTTACGATTGAATTGAGGAAGAATGTATTTACATAAAGAGTTGTGAATCTGTGGAATTCCCCACCCAGTGAAGTAGTTGAGACTAACTGGTTGAATGTTTCTAAGGCAAACAAAGAGAGATTTTTGAACAGTAAAGGAATTAAGGGTTATGGTGAGAGGGTGGGTAAGTGGAGCTGAGTCTGTGAAAAGATCAGCCATGATCTTATTAAATGGCGGGGCAGGCTCAGGGGGCCAGATGGCCTACTCCTGCTCCTAGTTCTTATGTTCTTATGTATTGCTCTCTTAATATTGAATTCCTGGGCTTGTCTTTTCCTTTTATATCTCACACAGCTTGAATGTACGTTTTATTTTTACTGTTGGTTGCGTTCTGTTTCCTCCCAGTAGTCTTTGTTTTGTACCAATTATGTTGCTCTGGAATACCGGACGATTAATAAAAGCTCACAGGGTGACAGGTAATTGGGTACATTTGGCTTACTCAAGTGAAAATATATGACTGTTTGGATTTAATCAAACTGTTCAAGTAAAACATTTCACATCCACTGGCCTTTCATTTAATTTTTAGGAGGGAGTGGGTACATTATTGCGGGTCACATACCGTGTAAATTGAGCATGGAATATGGATTATAACTGCATGAAAAGGTCAAGTTGATACTTTAAGCCAACTAATATGGTTTGATTGAATACCAGCTTTATCTTATGTATGCGTAATCCAAATTATATTAAATTCAGTATGACTGAGATTGATCAGAAGCTGGATTTACAGCTGTCTAACATCAATTCAGTCGACAGACATAGGGAAAAGGGGAGACCTGTTCTGTCATTAAAGACTGTAGTTAATGTGCAATCTAGCTCCATCTACCCCTGTTTTGTCCAGATACCTTAAATATTATTGTTAACCATATTCTATTAATTGTGCTTTTATTTGGGCTTCACACTGGCATGACGCAAACTAATTAAACTCTCTACTGATATCATTGTCTCGGATTCAGTAAAGATGACAAGTACAAAATGATGTATGGAGTTTGTGAAATGTTAAGTGTGGAGACAGATCATCTACATTAGCAGATTGTCACCTTCACCTATTATTTATTCATGATATAACCACTGGCAAATAATTGCAAATCTCCTGGTTTATTTAATTTTTTCAGTCTTCAAAAAATGTACTTCATCTCATCTTAAAACATGCAGGATGCATTGTGACAAAAACTTTGTGTTATGTCAGATGTTCACATTCAGCTGGACTTCTTCAAACCGTTAATATTTCATTGCCTTTCTAATCCAGTCCTTCTTCCACACGGTCCTGGAGAATAGTCATCTCTGTGAGACGATGGTGGATAACAACTTGCGAATTACCAACTGGAATCGGAAGCTTGGCTGTAAGTGCCAGTACAAACACATTGTGGATTGGTGCGGCTGCTCTCCCAATGACTTCAAGCCACAGGATTTCCACCGCTTCCAGGTAGCTTCAGTACTTGCTGATGAAGATGGCTACAACTGGGACTAACATTACTGTTACTGCCAATGATACTGCTATACCAAAAACAAATTGCATTCAGACATGAGGGCTGAGGCTGTACAACCATTCCAGTGAAGTCTCATCACATTATACACATGTTCACCAGACTAGCTGTCAATATTATTAATTATCAGTCCTCACCTCAGAACAAAGAAAAAGGAACAGGCCCTTCCGCCCTCCAAGCCTGTGCTGACACATTTTGCCCTTCCATACTAAAACTGTCTTCATTTACAGTACCCATATCCCTCTATTTCCTCCCTAGTCATGTATTTGTCCAGGTGCTTCTCGAGCGCTGCTATTGTGTCTGCTTCCACCACCTCCTCTGACAGCACGTTCCAGGCACTCACCACCCCTTGTGTGAAAATTTGACTCACACATTTCTTTTAAGCTCCAACCTCCCCATCCTGCCGCCCCACCCCCCACCCCCACACCTTGAACCTGTGTCCCCTAGTAATTGACCCCTCCACCCTGGGAAAAAGCCTCATAGTTTACACTCTATCCACACCATACACAAACTTATAAACTTCTATCAGGTCACCTCTCAACCTCCTGCGTACCAGTAAAAACAAACCCAGTCTATTCAACCTTTCTTCATAGCTAAAATCTGCCATTCCCGGCAACATCCTGGTGAACCTTTTCTGTACCCTCTCCAAAGCCACCACATCCTTCTGGTAGTGTGGTGACCAGAACTGTACACAATATTCCAAATGTGGCCTCACTAAAGTTCTATAAAGCTGCAGCATAACTTGTCTATCCTTATACTCAATGCCCCTTCCAATGAAGGCAAGCATGCGATAGGCCTTTTTTACTGCCTTATCTACCTGCGCTGCCACCTTCAGTGATCTGTGGACCTGCACACCCAGATCCCTCTGCATATCAATACTCCTAAGGGTTCTGCCATTCACTGTATAATTTCCATCTGATGCACCTTCCAAAATGCATCACTTCACATATGTCTGGATTAAACTCCATCTACAGTTTTTCTGCCAGTACCTCCAACTGATCTATATCCTGCTGTATCCTCTGAGAATCCTCCTTACCATCTGTAACTTCACCAATCTTTGTATCGTCTGCAAACTTACTTAATTAGACCAGCTACATTTGCCTCCAAATTATTTATGTAGACCATGAACAGCAGAGGTCCCAGCACTGATCCCTGTGGAACACCATCAGTCACAACCCTCCATTCTGAAAAACATCCTTCCATCACTACCCTCTGTCTTCCATGACTAATCCAGTTCTGTATCCATCTTGCCAGCTCACCCCGATACCACATGACTTCACCTTTTGTACCAGCATGTCATGAGGGACTTGTCAAAGGCTTTACTGAAGTCTGTGTAGACAACATCAACCACTTTTCCGTCATCAATAATCTTCAACACCCCCTCAAAAAACTCGATCAAGTTAGTGAGACACAACCTCTCCCGCACAAAACCATGCTGTCTATTGCTTCTGAATGCATATAGATCTTGTCCCTGAGAATCTTTTCCAATAATTTCCTTACCACTGATGTGAGGCTCACAGGTCTTAATTTCCAGGATTATCGCTACTACCCTTCTTAAATAATGGGACAACATTGGCTATTCTCCAGTCTTTTGGAGCCTCACCTGTGGCCAAGGACGATACAAAGACATGTGTCAATGATTGTTTTTGTTTTTGGAGGGTAAAAGCCGACAGGGATCAGTTTAATCTGTTGATTATTTGGATAGAAAGGGCTTGCAGAGTTATGGGGAAAAGGCCGAAGATTGACTGTAGGGAATAGAACAGGTGCAGGGAGGATTGGCTGAATGGCCTCTTTCTGTGCTGTAACAATTTCATGATTCTGTACAGCAAATGGAGGTGACACCATATTCACAAGCACTAAAGGAGGAAAGGGAAATTGGAGAGTGAGAACTGCAATTTTAAAGGAACGGGGATGAAACCTGATGCCACCTGGCATGGGAGGCTGAGGAGGGAGGTTGAGTTATCAAATTTTTAGTGAGAAGGGGAGTCAGGGAGCAAAGACTGGGCTTTTTGATGAGATGAGCTGAGAGGAATGGGGAAACAGATAGAATGTGAGCATTGCTGGCAAGGCCAGCATTTACGATCAAACCCTAATTGTTCTTGAGAATATGGTGAGGTACCACTTTGTGAACAACTCCAGTCTATGGGGTGTAGATACACCCATGGTGCTGATTATGAAGTGTTCTAAGATTTTGACCCAGTGACCCTGAAGGAACAGTGATATCGTTCCAAGTCAGGATGCCAAGTGGTTTGGACGGGGTCTTGCAGGGGCTGGTGTTCCCATGTATCTACTGCCCTTTTGCTGTAAGTGGAAGAGGTTACATGTTAGGAAGATGTTATCTATGGAGCATGTGGTTAAATTACTGCGATGTGTCTTGTAGATGGTGCACACTGCTGCCACTGTACATCGCTGTGGAAAGAGTAAATGTTTGAAGTGGTGGAATGGTAGATGGTGGGTAGATATCCTTCAGGGACAGAGCCAAAACCATCACCATTGTTTATAGATAGTAAGTGAAAATAATGCACTCTTTTCCATCCACACAGCAAACGGCAAGGCCAACGTTTTTTGCTCGGAAGTTTGAGGCTGCAGTTAACCAAGAGATCATTGGTCAGCTGGATTTCTACCTGTTTGGGAACTACCCAGCTGGCACAACAGCTCTGAAAGCATACTGGGAAAACGTATACGATGAGCCAGATGGTATCCACAGCATCAGTGACACATACCTGACCATGTATCACTCATTTGCTCGCCTAGGTCTAAAAAGAGCAGAGTCTTCCTGGCATTCCAAAGAGGAGAATAAGTGCAGGTGAGGGCGAAACTGCAATTCCTGCATATAACTTGTCAGAACTGTAGCCCTGCTGCAGTTATAGTATGCACACAACTGTGAAAATGGGGTGAGTGAAATAATTTTGCTGATGTAATGGGAGTTTAATAATTTTGACAGGGTTTCTCCCTCAGAAGTATGATTCTATTCCCCATAAAGCTATGCAATAAATTATGCTAATATTGCACCTTCCATAACCTCCAGCTCAGCCAATGAATTAACCTTTTAAGTGTAGTCACTGTAATAACATTGGGAATTACAGCAACCAGTTTGAGCACGGTGTGATCTCAGCAAAATGCAATGATGTAATTGAACACAATCTGCTTTATTAGAACCATAGTAAAATTATGGCTTAGAAAGAGGCCATTCAACCCATCGTTCTGTGCTGGCTGATAAAGGGAGACAAGGAAAATAGTCTGTCAATTTCATTCCACCTTTCAGCTCCTGCTCTGAAGCCTTGCAGGTTACAGACTCCCTGTAAGTAATAATGAGGGATAATCACTGAGGGATAAGTGTTGACCAAGACATCAGAACTCCCCTGTTGCTCTTTGATTAGTTCCATGGAATATTCTTTGGCCATTTGAGGGGCCAGTTGAAGCTTTGACTTAGAAGTGCATCCTTTTAGATGAGTTTTTAACAGTACAGCATTCCCTCAGTACTGGATTAAGGTGTTAGCTGAAATAATGTTCCTGTACCCTGTAGTAAGGCATGAACCCATTGAACCAATTTAGTAAAGTTCTTTGAGGATGTAACAAGCAGAATGGATAAGTGGTGTATTTGAATTTCCAAAAGGCATTCAGTAAAGTTATTGCAGAAGAAAACTTGTAGTGTCACAGCTAATGTACCAGAAGGCAGAGAGAATTGGCTAAATAAGATGAAATGGAATCTGGAAAAATTATTCATTTTCAGATTGGCCAACTGTTGCCACAGGGATCAATGCTGGAACCTCAACTATTTATGATTTATGTTAATGATTTGGGTGAAAGCACCAACTATGGTTCTGATGGGGAGGTGCTGGTGTTGGTCTGGGGTGGACAAGGTCAGAAATCACACGACACCAGGTCATAGTCCAACAAGTTTATTTGAAATCACAAGCTTTCGGAGCACTGCTGCTCCATCAGGTGACAAAGGAGCAGCGCTACAAAAGCATGTGATTTTGAATAAACCTGTTGGACTATAACCTGGTGTCATGTGCCTTCAAACTACAGTTCAGCCAAATTTGCTGCTGATTCAAGGATAAGAAGGAAAGCACATGAGTAGGGTGTAAAGAGTCTGCAAAGGGATATAAATAGGTTCAGTGCGGGGGAGAATTGGCACATGGTGTATAATGTGGGGAAATGTGAGATTGTTCACTTTGGCAGGAAGAATAGCATATTATTTAAGGAGAGAGAGACTACATAATGCTGCAGTACGAGAAGGATCTGGGTGTCCTTGTACATGAATCACAAAAAGTTAGTGTGCAGGTAAAGCAAGAGATTATGAAGATGAACGGAATGTGGTCTTAAGGATCTGGAATATCAATGTAAGCAAGTCTTTCTACAATTGTACAGGAAATTGGTGATACCGCGCCCCAAGTACTACATGGAGTTCTTACTTAAGAAGTGACATACTTACATTGGAAGCATTTCAGAGAAAATTGGGTAGGCTGCTTCCTGGGGATGAGGATCAATCTCAAATGGAGAGGTTGAGGAGGCTGGATCTATACTTATTGGAGTTTAGAAGAATGAGAGATGATCTCATTGAAACATAAATAGTTCTGAGGGGCTTTTACAAGGTGGATGCTGAGAGGGTGCTTCTTGTGGGACATTTTTTAGAGCTAGGGGCCACGCTTTCAAAATAAGAGGTCTCTCATTTAAGCCAAAGAGATAGTGAGGAATTTCTTCCGAGGGCCGTTTATGCTTGGAATTCTGTTCCCCCAGAGTAGTGGAGGCCAGCTTATTGAATATGTTCAACATTGGATGAAACAGTTTTCTGCTTGTCAAAGAAGTTGAGAGTTATATGAGGGTGCAGGCAGGGAAGGGATGTTAAGGCCATAATTAAATCAGCCATCATCTCGCTAAATGGCAGATCAAGTTCAAGTGGGGACAACTGAACTGCTCCTATTTCTCATCTTATGTAAGCCATCTTAACACACAGGCAACAGTACCAGGACCAAGTCAAGCTCACAGCCTAGTTAATGCTTCAAAAATAACCAAAGTACCATGGATACTGGAAATCAGAAAACACCAACAGAAACTGTTTGAAAACCTCAGCAGGTCTGACAGCATTTGTGTAGACAGAAACAGAGTTAACGTTTTGGGTCCAGTGAACCTTCTTCAGAGTTCTGCCACAGATGCTGCCAAACCTGCTGAGTTTTTCAAGCAATTTCTGTTTGTGTTAGTCATTGCTTCGACTGGCTTTGTGATACTGCTTGCTGCTTGTACTCTGGGTAACATTATTTTACATGCTTGATGTGGCACAATAGCTGTTCAGCCTGCAGCATTTTCCCATCTGCACCATTGTAGGTCTGCAGCAACATATGTAAAGCACCTCTGTACTAGATAACATAATTAACTTGTTTAAAGAAAATTGGGTTATTGAATTTCCTGGAATTCTCTAACTGCCTGTTTATGCTACTCTCTTTTTGTACTGATATGAAAGTGACCCTAATCCCATAAAAGTTGCTCCTGCCAACCTGCCAAAATCTCACCCATGCTTGGCATATTTGAGGTACAGCCAGCTGTATTTGCACAGCTTGTGCATCTCTGCCTATTTTGATTGGCTGTCCAAAAGCAGGGCAAAGTCATAACATCACTGAGTTCTAACAACACTCAGAATTCTGCATCTAGAAGTTTGGCAAACATTGTTTTTGTAGCTTTTGGTGGAAACTTGCATCCCTGTTCATAAATATTATTGAACAAAAGTCAGCATAAACAGAAATAGAGGACTGTTGTTGCACAGGTACCATCTCTACCTCTGGGCTCCATGATCCAGGATCAAGTCTCACTTGTCCTAGTGGTTTGTTGTAACACGTCCGAACAGGTTGATTAACGTAATCAAATCCCAGCCCTTCGTACATGACCAAATATTTCTGTTAGGTTAGAGATGGAAAGGGTAGCTCTTTGCATTGTGACATTGCCCTCAGTGCCTATACATCACTATATCCCAAATCTTACGTCAAAGATCAGTTCATACAAAGGTATATCCTTCACTAGCCTGACACCAAATTCATTCAAGGGAAGATGTTTACTCTGCAAGCAGGCTCTGAACTTGAAAGTTTACTTTAGCTTCCTCCATCAGCTTTCTCAGGTACTACATTCAAGGAGTAGATTTTGACCATGGGGTAGTTTTGGCAAATTGGAAGGGATTGGTTGACTGCAGGGAGAATGGGAAACACAATTGCTGGGCTAGGTTTGGGTGCTGAGTATTTAAATTTCTGAGATTCCCAAGAACAGGACACAGGAATGATTGAGTGATCTTTGGGAAGGTCTTGTAGGAGAGAAGGTGGAGATTCCAGGGCAGAAGAAGTTATAACTTACCTGGTTGGATATGTTTGACCTTCCTGGCCTCCAGATGGTGAGTTTTACACTAACCTTTGAAGGCTCTTCCATCTCTACACTTAATTTAGCCTGGGGTGGGGAAATGGGGGATTTGATGGCTTCTCCTTTCGAAACACAGTTAAAATAATAAAATTGATTCTGCAGTACCCCAATTTCTTGTCATATCTCAAACTGACAGTACATCCCAATGCTGCAACCATGAGTTAGTTACCCAGTTGCTTTATTGAGACCTGTGTAAACACTGAGTACACTTGTCTGTTTTCTCCACTGAAGCCAATCATTTCAATACCACCGTATAGATATCAAAGAACAAAGAACATATCAGGTAACCAAAGAAGTCCGGTACTGGAACGTTGTCTTGCCTGACTTTGAAGGAGGGGAAAATTCTAACTGAAGTGTTCTTCAATTGAAATGCAACCATCAAATACTTGAGAATAATCCCAACAGTGCTTTTAAAGTGAGCTTAAAGAAAAGTCCTGCAGAGACATGTGGAAATTGTTAAAATCATTTTCCTCTCCTTTCCGGTGCTAGAGTCTGGCATGTCTGTACTTGATACATGACATTCTGCAAAAATGATTAAGTGCCACCATTAGATAACAATGGCGTTGGTAAGGAGGACGGAGAAACAGCCTCATGCCATAATAATGCAAGTAGGTTGTGCTGTGGTAGAGAGCTCAATATGGCCAGCTCAATGGGGGAGAACTACTCAGGGACACACATACTGCACATACAGAGAGGCCTCATACAGGCTTAAAAGATCAACATTGTTGCAGGACAGCCTAAAATGTGGGGAGTCCTGCTCAACCAGACACAGCATTCTGCTGGAAGGATCAAAGTTCAGGTGCCCAATTACTGAGAAAAGAAATGCTCTAACAATAAATATTAACAAATGAATGTGCGCAGAACATGGACGATTTTTGGATCAGTTGTATCTATTTGAGAGTTGTACAGTTTTTTTTGTTTTTGTAGCAAGTTTCATTTTTAAGTAAATAGAGTGAGCTGATGGATTAATTGTAATGGCTGATCATGTTTTGCAGATTTATTTTGACGATTGTTTCAGATTGACAACAATAGATTTTTTTAACTCTGCCTAGTGACAATTAAATATTTGAGCAAATCAGTTTGGTAACTGAATACAAATTAATTAAATAATTCAGCCTCAATAACAAGGCCAACAATTTACAATGATACAGACTCACTGGGCTTAAAGCATCGCACATCCACGACATAAATGTATCAATATATGTATTTAATTTACAAAGGAGTAGTTATGAAAGAATTTGATTTGATGCTGCATTATTTGAGCAGAGGTCTTTGAAACTCCATCCTGGCACTTCATGGTTGAAATATTCTTCCTTTGTAAAGGTGAATAAAATGAGTTTTCTCTCAAGACATTAAAAACACAAAAATAATGAAGTAGCAAAAGTCAATTGGATTCTTTTT